CTTGTTAATGAGAAAGCACTAGAAGGGCTTACGATTGGCCGGGTGGCCTTTGTTTACTTTCACATATGCAAGCAGATCATATGAGGAGCTAGCAGAGACTGCTGAAGCAGGCAACACAGCCAGGGGGCTCACATCGGATTCTGGGGGGAAACAGCAGCAGGAGTCCCGGCCAATGTTCCCTCTAAGCTGAGTTAGTGTGAGCTAGCTCACAGTTTTTTAGCCTCTGGCTCACACATTTTTGTCTTAGCTCAGGAGGATGGCTCCAGAGCAAACTAATTTATGCAGTGGCCAAATCACTTGCTCACAACTTTAATGCCAGCAGCTCACAAAGTAGAATTTCTGCTCACAAGACTCCACAGCTTAGAGGGAACCTTGGTCCCGGCATCCTGCTGCCGAGGTGGCCTGAGTAGGTAGGTCTGCATTTGATCCTGTGTGCGGCAGCCTGTCTTCCTTCCCCTCCAGCTTTGATGGCTGGAAAGGCCCTTACTTTCATCAGAGTAAAGGGGAGGGGCGGTAGCTCTGTGGCAGACCCTCTGCTTGGCATGCAGGAGGTCCCACGTTCAGTCCCCCGCCCCCAGTTTAAAGGATCAGGCTGAAAGGGATGTGAAAGACCTCCGCCCGAGACCCTGGAGACCCCCTGCCAGTCCGAATAGAGTTTGATAGACTGACAGTCTGATTCTGTCTAAGGCAGCTTCATGTGTCAAAGGCCACAGATCTCTTTTATCTGTCTCCAGAGGGCAGTGTATGCAAAACCGTTCACGGCGATCCAGAAAGCCATGCCTGAGTTCCCACCAAATATTTCTGCCTGCAGAAGTGGGTGGGTGGGTGGGTGTTGGTGCCAACCTGCCTGCTGGCAGACCTCCATCCCCCCCGCTAAGCTATTCCTAGGGGTCCCCGATCCCTCAGGAGCAGCTTTTCTAGGGGCATTTGAAGCTGTGGGGGGAGAGAGGAGGCAGGGAAGCCGCCATGGACACCGAGTGTTTTATTTGCCTCATTTATACCCTGTGCTGCTCCCTAATGGGGACCCAAAGCGGCATCGTGCTCTTCTCCTCCAGAGGTAGGTTAGGCTGAGAGTGTGGGGCTGGGCCAAAGTCACCCAGCAAACATCTGTGGCAGAGTGCGGGGGGGGGGGGTCAAATCCAAATCCAGCATTCTGGCCACACCACCACATTGGCTCTCTGCCATCTGCAGAAGTTGGAGGCGGGATCCAAGCCAATAGCTATGTATGTTTATCCTGCCCTTCCTCCAGAGAGCTCGGAATGGTGTATACGGTTCTTCCCTCATTTAGCCCTCACATCAGCCCTGTGAGGTAGGTTAGGCTGAGCAGGGCTTTTTTTGTAGAAAAAGCCCAGCAGGAACTCATTAGCATAATAGGCCACACCCAACAGCAGGAACATATTAGCCTATTAGGCCACACCCATAACATCATGTCTTATTAGCATAATAGGCCACACCCCATGCCTTCCTTGCCCAAGCACCCCACAGCTGTGGGGAGCCCGGGCATGCCTTCCCTTGGCTTGTCCTGGCGCCCCACGGCTGCAGGGCGCCTGGACAAGCCAACCCTTTGAAGGGAGGGGAGGGAGTTTAAATTGCCTTCCTTTGGCTTGCCCGGGCATCCCACAGCTGCGGGGCACCCAGGCAAGACAGCCCTTGGGCAGGCCGGGGAAGGCATAGGGAGGCATTTAAATGCCTCCCCAATCCTTCCAGGGGCCCCTGGCCTGCCCACCTCAGAGTCGCGGGGGGGGGGGGGGGGGGGGTCCGCTCTCCAGGCCTTCCCTCTGTAGCCACACACACAGAGGGTTTGGCTGTAGTGGGCGTGGCCAACTCTGAAGCCAGCTGGAACTGCGTTCCTCTGTGTTGCTCCCCAAAAACAGCCCTGACTGGTTGAGAGATTATGACTGGCCTAAAGTCAGCCCTTGACCACGACACTTTCTGCCCTGCCAGCACCTCTTGACCAGGAATTCCTCTTCCTCGGAGAACTGAACAGGGCTTCCAGTTCAATTGCTGATGATGACACAAAACACAGCTCTAGTTCACCACTGAATGTCAAGTTAGGGTTTACCCAGTGCTAGAAATCTTGTTTCGGAGAATAACAGCAGGTTTGATAGACTAAGCCTCCATCACACTGGCTTGTCCTTCCTCCAAGGAGCTCGGTGCAGCAGGGCGTTTCCCTTTCTACTTTATATCTTCACAACAACCCTGCGAGGTAGGTTAGGTCGAGACAGTGTGACTCTGGCCCAAGGTTACCCGGCATGTTTTACGGCAGAGTGTGCATTTTAAGCCAAGTCCTAGTCTGATGCTCTGACTACTACACCACACTGCCTCTTGAAGGGTACAGGTTGCCCTTCACTCAGTACCAAGCCCCCACTCCCTACTGGTGTCTGGGACTTAGGAAAGAGAGGGATTCTGGGGGTACACCTTTCTTTCCTTGGTCATGTCTAACCACAAGCAGATGGCAGATGCTTGTGGGCCTCAGAGGAGGAGGAGATTGGATTTATACCCTGCCCTTCACTCGGAGTCTCAGAGCAGCTTACACTATCCTTTCCCTTCCCCTCCCCACCACAGACACCCTGTGAGGTAGGTGGGCTGAGAGAGCTCTTTCAAGGACTGCTCTTGAGAGAACAGCTCTGAAAGAACTGTGACTGACCCAAGGTCACACCAACAGCTGCATGTGGAGAAGCAGTGAATCAATCCCGGTTCTCCCAGATTAGAGTCCGCGCTCTTAACCACTATAGCAGACTGGCTCTCTGGATGATTTGGAGCACATGAAGGAGCTCTGGAAAAGGAGAGGGGGCTTCCCTCTCCCCTCTCCCCTCTGGGGGCTCATCACAGAAGACTGATTTGGCGGGCTGCATCTTTGGAGACTTCATTAAAAACTTTTTGTGTGTGTGTCCCTGATGAATCACAGTCCTTATTCCACCTTTGGGAGAGACATTGGATCTGGCTTTTAATGTTTTTTTTCTTGGTATTCACAGTACCAAAGTTTTCCAACTAGAAGGCAGGTATCTGTCTTTGGTTCCTTTCTCAAGTTCCTAACTAGCTATGTAAAAGCTGTGGAATGAGTCTGGGTTGCCAGCATGGGACTTAATCTCAGGACCCTGGGTCCAGGGCAAGGTTAAATACTCTTTTACATTTTAAGGAAACGTATCGTTTTGTGGTCAGTTCACTAATGTGTAGAGCGGCAAATGATAGTGTAAGACAGGCAGTTTCAGAGCAAAGGAATACGGCAGCAGGGAACTTGCAACAGGATCTTGGAGGTGCAGACAGAAAGGTTTCCAAGTACACTGGAGTGGCTCTATTTTTATCCAAGAAAGGTTGGAGGACATGAGCCAGCTGCTCTGAACTCCTTGAAGGAATACAAAGCCGGTAGGTAGATAGATGGAACGCCCCACAAGTCTGGGACTCGGTCTGTCACGTAGGCTAAAATAGGACATCTGATCCTGTACATAATAGAAAGTTGGCTGGATCCTACCAGCGTGTCTGCTGATGAGAGGAAGTTACTTTTTTGACCACAAAGGTTGTGCCAGAGATCTCATGAAGTTGCCCTATACTGAATAGGCCCCTTGGACCCTCCAAATCAGTACTGTCTACCCAGACTGGCAGCATCTCTCAAGCTGAGGTCTTCCACATCACAGTGACTACCGGATGCTCGCTGGAGATTGAATCCGGGACCTTCTGCTCATCAAGCAGATGCTGTACCACTGAGCCGTAGCTCCTGTCGTGGAACCCATGTGGACAAAAAGCCGTGTGGGATTGGGGCTGCAGGGAGGACAGGAATTGGCGAAGATGGAGCAGAAATGCTGGTAGGGTCCAACCCAGCATAATTCCTGAACCACTGAACAGCTTCCTGCAGGGCTGGGGTTGAGAGATCCCCAGACCTGGAACAGCAGGGAGGAAGCCGCTCTTCACCAAGAATTCTCAAGCTGAGACGTGGGTCTTGCTGGAGAGACATGAGCAGTTGGGAGAGAAAAGTTCCTTCTTGGTGCTGCTACCCCCTCCCCAACCCTCAATCATGTATGTATCTTCCCGGATCAAGTCAGGCAAAAGGGAGTTGCTTCCTCTATCCTCTCTCACACACAATTGTACTTATGCAAACACCATTTCCTATCAGAGACTGCATCCTGCAAAGGACCTCTTCCTCTCTTAAGTTTCTGATCCTTACAGCTGCCTGGGCAGAGGCAAAGGAGAGGCGGAGGAGGCCTTGATCGGAAGGCACAGGGCTCTAGGGCTTTGATTTCCTTCCTGCACTGACCTCTCTGACCCCCCCCCCCTTTTTCAACTTTGGCTTTGTTTTGGTCGCTTGTGCCTTCCTCATTGTTCCTTAAACATCCTCACTGGCACAGCCCTGCAAGAGCTGACCCAGCTAAATCAAAGCAAAACATTGCACATCAGAGCTCAGACCCCTCTGCAAGGGCGTGCGGGGGGGGGGGAAGGAACTTCTTTCCTTGACAAGCTCAGAAGGGCAGGATGTCCAATAACTCTGGAGGCATCCAAGGGGACCATCCAAATCAGGGCACTTCACAGGAGCAACTGTTCAAATATAGGTCGCTAATTCCGAGCTGGTAGGTTTTGCAATCAGATCAGTGGGAAGGTAACAGCGTTCAGTGTGCCTTGGTGTTTAGTCATGCCGGCCACATGACCAAGGAAACGTCTTCGGACAGCGCTGGCTCTTCGGCTTTGAAACGGAGATGAGCACCGCAACCCTAGAGTCGGCTTCAACTGGCTTTCGAGCAAGGGAACGTTTACCTTTACCTTTTACATCCAAGAGAGGCTCAGGTTGGGCACAAGATGAAACATTTGATGTATTTGTAGGTTTCAGGAAAAATATCTGCACTTGTGCAAATATTCAAAATATATTGTTTTCTTGGCTCAAGAGAAGGGAGGGATACTTTGTACTTGGGGAAGGAACCCAAAATCTCTCCAGAATTCACAAGCTTGCGAGGATTTGGGGGGGGGGGTGCCTCTGTGTGCGTGTAAACTGTCTCAGATTTCTTTCTTAGATGCCCCTGCGGTAACTGAGCAAGATTCCTTTCAGCGCACGGGCAGCGCGATGGTCCCCCTGTGCTGGTGCTGCCCGACGGCACCCGCCCCAGCCATGAGCCGCATGGCCACACCTTCCTACCACTTCAAGAGTTTCTGCGGCGACTTTGAGCGGGTGGAGAGCGCCCTGGAGCGCCTGGAGGCCAGCGGCTTCTACTGGGGCAGCCTGTCGGGGACAGAAGCGAAGCGGGTTCTGACCTCCCAGCTGCCCGGAGTCTTCCTGGTGCGCGACTCCTCTGACCACCACCACCTGTTCACCCTCAGTGTCCGCACGAACACAGGCATCACCAACCTGCGCATCCAGCAGCAGGGCTCGGCTTTCCACCTGGAGGCCCTGCCGGGCGCGGGCCACCCCCCAGCGTTTAGGTGCGTGGTCCAGTTGGTGGAGCATTATCTGCGCCTGGGGGCGGTGGAAGGGGGTCCCTGCTACCTGGAGAAGGAGGGACAGCCCCCGGTGCCCTTGGCCCTCACGCACCCGCTCTGCTGCAAGGTGCCCACTTTGCAAGAGCTGTGCCGGCGGGCGGTGCGAGCCAGCGTGCAGGGCACGGGGGACACCAGGGCTCAGTTGCAGGACCTTCCCGTGCCCCGGGGACTGCTGAACTCTCTGTGCAGCTAAGAGGGAGGAGGATGTTGCCCCCTCTAAGCGCCTGCAACGCCGGCAGGGTCTTTCCTTTCAAACATTCCGTGTACAGTACGCGGCTGCAAGCAAGCAAGCAGGGTTGTGCCGGGGGTGCCTGTTCATTATTATCTTCATGGAATAAACGGACTGGCGTAGGTCCAGCTCTTCATTCATCCAAAAGAAAAAAAATTGCCCTCATCTTATTGTGGTGGTATCGCCTCTGACCCAGAGCACCAGAAGCAGAAAGCAAGAGTAGTCTGTTCAAGGGGGGGGGGGGGGGTCTCCTGCCCCTCTCCCTCATTTCATTTCTTCTACACCTATTTGAGCCAAAGGAATGGCAGATGAAGCTGGTGCAGCCCAGGGTGCATTCCACACCCAAGCTATAATTACCCGTGGTGCACCTTTTAATTCACGACGTGCACATACAAAGACACTCTCTCCCTGCCCGAACACCAGAGGACTCCAGCCAGTGGAAATCTGAGAAGTGTACGTACACGTGTGAATCCTTCCTATTCATTTTCATTTCTAACAGGAAGACGATAGGGCTTGAGGCTAGTTGGGAGCGGTAGTTTCCGCTCTGGAAGCCCTGCTTTCTAAAACCAGGCTGAGAGGGGCAGGCTGAGAGAACACCGCTGCTCCCCGAAGAAAACCTGCTTCTCAGCACTGAGCCAATGTGTGCCAAATGTACACTACCACTGGACCCTTCTTCCATCATTGCATTTTTCTTTCCCCTTCCAGTCACTGGCCTCATCCGAGGTCATTCCCGTATGCCGATCGCTGACTCAGGCAGTTATGATGGGGGGGGGGGGGGGCCTTTTTAGAGGAAAAACCTCGCCAGCGGGTTTAGGTTGCATCCGGTGACCCGCTTGCATTTGTTTTTATGGTGGTTTGGCCTGTGCAAAGGCCTGGAACGGGGACAAGGCAGGATGGAACTGAGACTAGGATTTTCTCAGTAGACTTATATGCATAGGACAGAGCTGCTGTATCCATTTGGCACATTCCTAACTGGATTGGTCTCCAAGGCAGGAAGTCAAGCCCCCTCCCCCCCCAGTGTAAACAAACACTGGGAACACTTAGAAAACCCCCACACAATAATCACATGGCATCTAAACACCTCACATGCTTAACCTTGCAGTTCCCCTCACACGGAGGCTTGGTTCCGCTGATTTATCCGCTGCCGGTCTCTCAGACTGAAGGCACCAGACTGTTTTTGCTTGTTTGTTTTGCTGGCCCGCCAGATCACCCTTCCTGGAAATGCCCTGTCTGCTGCGCTCTTGCCAATCCCTCTCTGGAGCTCAGTGACCCAGGGCTTTAAGTGGCTCTGATAAAACAGGAAGGTCGATTTCCCTTCAACTCTCACTTCCAGTAAAATAACACACACGGCTTCTTGAAAGCAACAAGTTCTTCTGAGGCATAAACAGATAAGCATCCAAAAACAGAACTCCACTGACTCTGACCCCCCCCTCCCCCGGCAGCAGAAGCAATGCAAGAGAGGCCCAACCCCGGCAATTATCCTTAATACTTTTCCCCCCCACAAGTAGCATTTTAGAAGAGCTGCCGATTAAAAACCATGCATGTGTATTCAATTGCAGTTATTCCACTGGGGATCTCATTTTTTTAAAAGGGGAAACTCTACAGAATCCAGAGACTCAATAGCTCAAGAGGGAATCGGGAACAGCCTCCCTCATTTGTCTTTACTTGGCACAGCAAACCAAAATGAGGGAAGTGGGAAGGAGAGTGGAGCCCCCACCCAAGTGTCACGACAGCCTGCTTTAGCCCCACCTTCTTAGCCAGTTAACCTTTTCCTAGGTGAAAGAGAACGGGGCGTCAACCAATGCTCCCTCTAAGCTGTGGAGTCTCGTGAGCAAGACTTCTACTTTGTGAGCTACTGGTATTAAAGCTGTGAGCGGGCCATTTGGCTCCTGCACAAATGAGTTTGCTCTGGAGCCATCCTTCCTGAGCTAAGGCAAAAATGTGTGAGCCGGAGGCTAAAAAACTGTGAGCTGGCTCACACTAACTTAGCTTAGAGAGAACATTGTGCCAACAAACGTCCTTTGCACAAGCAGACTCTTAAGTCCTATCCGAGCCTCTGGCTGCAACAGAAGTGTGAGGTGTATGCAGCAGCCTTCCATCACCTGGCCTCACGCTACCAGCCTTTTCCACTGCTGTTTAGGCCCCCTCTCCCCAACCCCCACGCATCAGTTCCTGGCCTCTTCCATTCTCCTCCTGCATTCTCCAAGGAACATCCCTTAGCTGGGACAAGGACCCCTTCAGCACAATGCCAGTTCAAGCAGAGCGTGGCCACAGAGCAAGCCACCGACACCACATTGTCAGCATTCCCTTGACACTGTAATGCCTGGAATTCTTTCCCACAAATATTTTTATTGTGTAATCATAGAGTAAGGCGGGCATGCCCCCCCCCCCAATACTCCAGCTTAATCCTCCTCCTCGTCATCTCCGCCGCCAGCACCACCCTGGCCCTTCTTGGCGTTCTTCCTCTTGACACGACCTGGGCGGCCTCCACCGTAGGGTGAACGGAGGGAGAAGTCAATGTGCTTCTGAGAATCCAGGCGGACAATGAATGAAGGGATGTTCACCACCTGCTTCCTTACACTGAATGGGGAGAAAGGCACAGATGGGCAAGATCAGGCATCTCTCGCACATTTTTGCTTTCTGTATTACTGAGAATTCCCAGCTAAACCCACCCAAAAGGAACTGAACTTCCTGGGAGAAAGGGAGCTTTCCCTATCCTCCGGCTGCTAAGTAACACCATCCAGTCCAGTCTCTGTTTACAGTGCCAATAGATAAAGCCTACCCCATCTGCCTTTATTTCTGCTGACAAGGGACCCATGTGTGTCCCAATTAACACGTGGGAGAGCTAAATCACAGCTGACCTCTATGCAGCCGAAGGAACAACAGCTGTTGCTCACCCTTCAGTGCAGCTTGATTGCTTCTTGGGGCATTTTTGTAATTAGCAAAGCTTAACTCAACACTTCCTGTGCTCGATCTGAAGTGTTGCGATCAGCAGTCAGTGGGAGCTTTTCCATTATGCCACACAGTATCTTGTTCTGCTCCCATCTTGCATGATGATAAAAAAGCACTGGAGATGGCGTTTAAAGGGGGATTAGACAGATTTGTGGAGGACGAGTCTATCAGTGGCTACTAGCCATGGTGACTGAGGGGAACCCTCCACATTCAGAGGCAGTAAACCTCTGAATCCCAGTGCCAGGAGGCAACGTCAGGGGAAGGCCTCAGTCTCTATGCCCTGTTGCTGGCCCTTTGGAGGAACTGGTTGGCCACTGTGTGAGATAGAATGCTGGACTAGATGGACTACTGGTCAGATCCGGCAGGACTCTTCTTATATCCTCACAGAGATATGCTACTGGTTACCAATGCACCAACGTGCTCGTGCCTTCAGCACGCAACACCTCAACACCCAAGGTTATCAAAACCCGGTTTTAATGCTCTGCATCCAGCAGGCTTACCCACTTGCCGGCACTGAAGTGCTTTGTGATGCAAAAGATGGCAGCTGGCTAGTCGTTGCCTCTCTGGCCTGAGTGCCAAGAGCTTCGCAAGGTGTACGGCGGAACCGCAGTGAGCCTTACCGAAAACTTTTTTGTTTTTTTGCACACAGGCTCATCGGTTGAGTTAGTGGGCCATTAGGCTATCCAGGGTCCTGGTCAAGGAAGGAGCTTGCTGGGACTAAAAGGCACACAAGCTGGGCCGGTGCTGTGGCCATTCTCACACAGGCTACATACAAAAAGAGAGCAAAGGGCAAAGCTTCAGGGGCAGGTCCTGTCTTTGTGACCCAAAGGGCTGAGCCTGCTTTCAGCATCGTTCTGCTTAAGTTACAAACACTTCCCCCTCTATCTCACACTTCTCCCCCCCGCCCCGCCCGTGGCATACCGGATGTGTCTTTGGCGGATAAGCACCCGGGCATGATGAATGGATTTGGCCAGGCCCAGTTTGAAGACCTGGGTTTGGAGTCGCCGTTCCAGGAAATCCTCGATTTTCAGGCCCAGGATGTAATCCAGTTTCATCTTGCCCTCATCCAGCACCCCAATTCTGACGAGACGACGTAGCAAGGCATTGCCTGGGTAGAAAAGATTATCTAAGCAAATGGAAGGCACCCACAAACTTATTTATCCAGAGTTAGAGGCAGGGTGTAAATGGAAAAATCTACTTTCGTTTTGAAGGACTACCTTTTTTTGCCATCAAGTCACAGCTGACTCCTGGCAACTCCATGGGGCTTTCGAAGCAAGAGATGTTCAGAGGGGGTTTGCCACTGCCTGCCTCTGTTATTCCTTGGTGATCTCCCTTCCAAATACTGACCAGGGCCAGCCCTGCTTAGTTTCTGAGATCTGACTAGCCTAGGCTATCTAGATCAGGACAAAGATTACTTAACAACGTAATAGTCATGGGACATGCTTTCACAAGTGGCCGAATGTAAAGTTTAGGAAGTAGTGAAAAAGAGGCTGCTGGGAAGCTACAACCTCCAAGTGAAGGTCTGCTATGAACACCCATCTGCTACCATCACTATCATTTGGTATGCCTGCATTCAAATCCCACCACAAATAATGCAGTTGCGTTTAGCATGGCAATTACCCCCCGCCCTAATTTCCCATCTGCAAATCAGAAATAACAGTGGTCCAGACGTCAAAGAGGTGATCGAAAGAAAAATATTACTGGAATTATGATTGAGATGCTCTATTCTCCTGCACTCAAGACTCTTCAAGAGCCTTGCCCACTACGCAGATTGGGATTTGTAAGACCCATAAAGGGAGTGAATTGAAAATGCAAAACCCTTGAAGGTTCAAGTTCACTGAGAGCAGATATTGGGAGTTGTAAGCAATGCTCCCTCTAAGCTGTGGAGTATTGTGAGCAAAAACTCTACTTTGTGAGCTGAGCTCCCGGCATTAAAGTTGTGAGCGAGCGCTTTGGATGCTGCACAAATTAGCCTGCACTGGAGCCCTCCTTTCTGAGCTAAGACAAAAATGGGTGAGTCGGAGGCTAAAAAACTGTGAGCTAGCTCACACTAACTCAGCTTAGAGGGAACACTGCTCATAACTGTACAAGGCTCATTCAGACACCTGGGCCTAACATGCCACATACCCTCAAAAAGGCGCCTCTGATCCTTCTCATCCAGGGTGAGCAGCTCTCGGGCAGCTTTGCGGATCTTGGCCAAGGTGAACTTCACTCGCCACACTTCACGCTTGTTCCGCAGTCCATATTCACCTGAGATTTGGGGGGGGGGGGGGGGGTAAAAAAAAAAGTTTTACCCAGGGATCTACCTAGTTAAAACAAGGACCCCATTCCTCAAAGCGGAAAAACTCACCAATGAGCTTCAACTCCTGGTCAAGCCGTGATTTCTCAAAGGGTCGCCTAGGAGTGACATATGTCTTCCGACAAACCCAACTTCTGGCAACGGGCATTCTGGCTTAAAGAGACTGAGGCCAGGCCTGCAGAATAATCAAAGGTAGATGAAATAAGCTAAGGAGCCGGGAAGTTGTAAGAGTGGTGGACAAGCAAACAAATGAGAACCAGCATGTTGTTATTATTCTCAAATACAAACCAAACCTTCTCATAACACTGGCAAACAAAGTCTAGCTCACTACTCTTGTCTTCATATGAACATTTCCCAGCTCCTCACTTCCACACAGCCAAAATAGCCCCAGTGGCCAAGTGGTAATAGTTTAGCATTGAAAAGATGGGAAACCTCACTAGCACACACACAGAGGTCAGAATCAAGAAATGCAGCCTTGGAAGGTATGCTGAAGAGGAATCCCAGAAATTACACCAGGAAAAGTCCCTTCCACAAAATAACCAGCAAGGCTTGATGGCTTATCAGGGGGGGGGGGGAAGCTAATTCAAACAATAACAACAAAAGCACACATGGGCATAAAGTAGTAATTAAGCTGCCTTTTGTAGTTTTCTTAAGACCATGGCAAACAACTCTGGCAACACATTTGTTTTTGAGGTTTAGGGTTGGCTGCTCTTCGCGTTCCTTCTTGCAACAGAGGGAGGAGGAGCCTCTCAACCTCGTAAAAGATTTTAAATGGAAACATGGGATGTGCAAGACCGAAAGCCATGTAGACCGAGGGTTCCTATGAGAAGAATAATCAGTCGAGACCCAGCAAAAACTCACAAAAGAATGTAGATTAAAGGGGGTGCCTGTTTTAAAAACGGGGGAGGGAGGTTGACACTGTCCGTGCGGATAACGTAGTTTCTATGAGCGTCTATGAGCGCTACAAACAAACCCAGCTAAATGTACGGGCCACGAGAGCCACGCGACGCGATTCAACGGCCTGCGCATGCGCGAATGGCCAAGTTCCAGGCCCCGCGCATGCGCATAAAAGCGTCAGGCACGTTAGGCGTGAGCCTGAAGCCTCGAAACCGCATACTGGCTGCAAAAGCTCCCAATCAGCCGAACCGCAAAAGGTCATTAAGCCTTTCTCGACCGTTGACGGACCAACACGGACTTTCCCGCACTTCACTCCTGAGGCCCAACCCCACGCGGACATGCAACAACACGCTCACCTCCCAGCACCACCGGCAACCGCTGCTGAAAAGAAGGGGGCAAGTTTCGGAGCCTGCTTATATAGAATTGTGCAAAGCCCCGCCTTCCGTCTCCAATAGCCAATAGAAAGGTGCCGCTTCGCCGCCGACCTATTGGCGGCGGCTCCTTTCGCACGGGAACAGCCAATTAGCGCTTCCTTCAGGGGAGGTTGAGAGGAGCGAAGGCGTCCTTCACGTTGCCTGTAAAAAAGTCGCCATTGCGGAGCAACCGGCGGACGGGGGAGGGGACTGTCGCAACCACTATCTGTAATTGTTATTCTCGTCAGTGGTTTGGAGCTGGGGAGAACGCGGAGGAGCTCTGCTATTTTGGCAGCAACTGCCTCTCCCATTCCTTGAAGCATTTACCTTAATTTAAGGTAAAACTAATTTAAGGTCCTTAGAAATCACTGAGGTGTCCGCAGCCAAATTGCCCTGACTATTCTATTCCTCCACACATACAGAGTATACAAACCTAGAGAGGCACCCAGTCGACATACTTCCGGTTTGGTCCCCTCCCCCTTTCCAATGCAAAATAATACGATGGTCTTCACCATAGATTTTCCATGGGTTAGAGGGGTTCGCCACACGCTTGTATAGGCAAGCTCAATCTTGCCAAATCTTGGAAGCTAAGTAGGTTTGGCTTTGGCTAGTTTTTAGATGGGAGACCTCCAAGGAATACCAGGGTCATGATGTGGAGGCAGGCAATGGCAAACCACCCCTGGATGTCTCTTGCCTTGCAAATCCTACAGGGTCACCACCGTAAGTCAGCTGTGACTTTATATTTATTTATTTATTTATTTAGGCTTTTTTTTTTTACCCCGCCCTCCCTGCGAGCAGGCTCAGGGCGGCTTACAAGGGGCATGAGCCCATACATAAAACCAGATAAAACAGTAAAATCATGAATACTAATAACAATAATAAAGTGCTTTCTGTAAACAAGGCGGTCTTGAGTGGTTTTGATGGCGTCCTTTCCTCCCCATTGGGGTGGCACTGTCCAGCAGATAGTTCGAGCCAATCCCACATTGTCAGTGCCATGCAATTTATGGCGGAACTTCCAAGGGCGATTCCTAATCCCGATGGTATCCCCACCACTGGTGGTGGTGGCAGCGGCGGCCCCTATGTGAAAGCCTGGCGGAAGAGCTCCGTCTTGCAGGCCCTGCGGAACTGCATAAGGTCCTGCAGGGCCCTGATCTCCTCCGGGAGCTCGTTCCACCAGGTAGGGGCCGCCACTGAAAAGGATCTAGCCCTGGTCGCAGCAAGCTTTACCTCCCGGGGGCCTAGGATCACCAGGCGGTGTTGGGTCCCCGACCGAAGTACTCTTGGGGGTATATATGGGGAAAGGCGGTCCCTCAGGTAAGTCGGACCCTGGCCATGTAGGGCTTGACAACACACTTACACATGTTACTCTGTCAGATAAATAAAGACTCATGCCTGTATCCAAACTGGAAGAATATTTTGCTGCTAGAGCAATTCTAGAGGAACTGTTGGAGAAATGTGTCAGTCTAAATCCAGTAGGGAGCTTCTCCTTTCTGTCCATGCCCATTTGTGAAATGGGAGAAAAGCAGTTTTTTTGGACCATCTGCAGAAAAGGAGGGATCAGAAAATCTCCAATATCTGCAGATCAATAAGCATGTTTAAAAGCTCTTTGCTAAAATCAAGTGTTTTGAATCTGGTATAAGCCAGCTTCTACACTGGTCGCTTGTTGATTGCCAAAAAGTAGCCAAAACTCCCCCCCCCCACAATAAAACCATATTTAACTGGCAACAGTCTCAAATCTGCAGATATGTATCTCTCATTTTGAGCTCTGATATTGAGCTGGAGCCTCTTTCAGACACGTTTGCATCTTGGGCTGCAGACACAATAGTTTTCAGAACGATGATCCGATTTCTTTGCCTGCAAGTGGCGTGGATTGAGCTTGTGATATATGTGAAATCTGATAAACCTTAATAAAATATTTAGAAACCCGGTTGAGCTAATCAATGCTCTTTGAGATGCAAGCTACTGCAGACAGGTGCAGCATGCACATGCTCTTTCTCTAGCTAATATGGTTAACTATTTCAATATGCTAGACGGAGAGTGAATTTTAAAAGCTAGGCATTTCAACATGCAAAACACTGCCGTATCCCCTAAATGTGCCATTCTGCATTAAAGCCTTAGTGTTCATTCTGCATGCATAGTTTAATTGTAGAGGCATTAAAAAGCGTTAAAAACTTCGACTTACTTTGCTATATTAATCATGGGGAGGGACTGTGGCTCTATGGTAGAGCATCTTCTTGGCATCCCAGGTTCAATCCCTGGCATCTCCAGTTGAAAAAGGTGGCATGAAAGACCTCTGCCAGTCTGAGTAGACAATACTGTGCTGGACCAGTATAAGGCAGCTTCATGTGTGAATCTTTTTTGAGGGTTTGTTTCCCCTTCATAAAGGCTCCAGTAATGCATTAACTTTTGTTTCAGTGTTACATTCCCAGGTGTTACAGACTCAGGGTTGTGCATTTCTTCTGGTGGGAAATTTGAAAAAGGGGGGAAAAAATCACACCTGATAAGTGATAATTGCTAAACCGACACGTTCATTTTGCTAGTGACGTTCCAAACCCAAGCACCTTTGAGCATTCTGTGCATGCTTCTTTCAGCACGAATCCCTGCAGATGGTAGAGGACTATTTGAAATGTAGGAAACATAATATAAGGCACTAAGAAAGCCGTGTTTATTTCGTACAGATTTTTTATTAACAAGCTGAACTATAGGATAAAAAGGTAAAGGTTCCCTTGCTCGAAAGCCAGTCTAGGGTTGCGGTGCTCATCTCCGTTTCAAAGCTGAAGAGCCAGCGCTGTCCGAAGACGTTTCCGTGGTCATATGGCCGGCATGACTAAACACCAAGGCTCACGGAACGCTGTTACCTTCCCACTGAAGTGGTACCTATTTATCTACTTGAAATTTCTTGCTTTCGAACTGCTAGGTTGGCAGGAGCTGGAACTAGAGACGGGAGCTCACTCCGTCATGTGGCACCCGGGTCTTGAACTGCTGAACTACCGACCTTCCATAGCCTGCAGTTCAGCGTCCTAACCACTTGAGCCACCGCAGCTCAGTCTGAACTATAGGATACTTATCTATTAAGAATGGTTCTTTTGTAAATACAGCCAAAGACAGGGTTATTTGGGTCCAGTTTCAGACCTGGGATTGGGTGGCTGGGATTTGGTTAGCTATTCTGTCATTTGTGGTCCCCCATCCCCCCCCCATATCTCTGTGAAAAATAAGGGTCAGCCAGTCTTCTGTTTTTCCTTAGTAGGGTTATATTTGGGAAAAGACTGTTTGGGACTGGTCGCATATCCCAAAAACTGCTTGAGAGTCTGTTTGTTATGCTAACCTCTGTTGTTGTCTCCAGTTTTTTTAAAATATATATTTTTCTTTTACCATTCAAATGGATACAAAATGAAAAAGGACAAAGGGAAAGGTGTGAAGCATAAAACATCATTTCTTAAACACATTTTAAGGACATCGCATAACCTCTAGTTCAGTTCTGAAAGGCCTAATGCTGAGGCTGGACAGGTAGACCAACAGACCAGTATACCAGAAGCCAAAGCAGTGTGACAAGAGCAACAGGGTGGATCCAGCCAGCTTTTTATCTCAGACTTGCTGAATTCTCCTCTTTCCTACAGCCCTTTCCTCTTTGCTGAATTTTCCTCCTTCTTACAGCCTCCTTTCTATAGCCTTTCTACAGCCCCGGGATCCAGGTGGTCACAGGAGACCTCTCCACCTATTTTCACCATTGGGGAAAGCTGAATTGATCACTGTTTCAAGCTCTCTGGGGGGAAAAAATCCGTTGACTATTTCCTTCTGAAATTTGATGATCTGGATGACTGATTTACAGCATCTGTATCCCAGCTTTCTGCCTAATCACGGCTACAAAGATGGTTAACTTCTGCTTATTTAGGGTGCTCCCCCACCTCTGTACACCCCTTGCTCTGAAAACCCTACTGGGTCACCATAAGTTGGCTGCGACTTGACGGCACTTTCCACCACCACCACCACCACTTACCTGAGGTTCACACGTTTAAGGTGCTGCCTGCTAGGACAGCGACAGTGCAATCCTAAGTAGAGTTACTCCCTACTAAGCCCATTGAGTTCCAGTGGATTTAGAAGGGTGTAACACCGTTTAGCATTTCCACTGCTAGACTAGCAAGATCAGCACCATTGCAGCTGCTGCTCTTATGCTGAGCAGTCCTTGACCCCTGAAATCTCTCCTCTTGGGAGTACTTCCTGTTCTTCCTCTAGAGGGGTTCTCCAGTCCGTGCAAGCACCATCGAGAAGAAACCAGAATGTTGCAGAGTGTGAGGGAGGACCGAGATGAAGAACAACCTTTGCACTTTCAGCACCATAAACCGTGGGCTTTGCCAGGTCCCTCCTTGCCACCAGTAGGGGATGAGAGGGAGGATGTAGGATTGTCAGCTCCAGGTTGGGAAACTCCTGGAGATTTGAGGATGGAGCCTGGGGAGGACAGGGACCCCAGTGGGGTCCAGTGCCATGGAGTCCACCCTCCAGAGCATCCATTTTCTCCAGGGGAACTGATCTCTGTAGTCTGAAGATGAGCTGTAATTCCAGGGGGTCCCCAGGTCCCACCTGGAGGCTGGCATCCCTAATCTGAATCTCACTGTGGTCACCCCTGGCAGAAATGTGGGGAATCTGGGGAAATGCAAGTCTCTGCCTGATATCATTATTTTAGCACCTGTGTGTTTAAGCGCAGAAACAGCTCAGAGGAACAGGGGGTGTATTTGAGCCAGTTGTTTTTCTCAGGATACATCCCTCGAGATCTTAGAAGCAGCTTGTGGCAGTTTGTGCATCCTCTTGGGCATTGTTCTTGATGATGGCTCCATGTTCTGTTTTTTTTTTGCTTAGAGCTGGTGCATTGTTGGTAGAGATGTGAAGGCCCGGAAAAAAACCGGAAAAATTCAGAAAAAAAACTGTTTTTTTCCCGTTTTTTTCCTGAAGCCTTTTTGGTTTTTTTCCGAAAAATTGAAAAAAGAAAAGAAAAGAAAAAAAAATTGATTATGGAACATT